GAGAGAGAGAGAGAGAGAGAGAGAGAGAGAGAGAGAGAGAGAGAGAGAGAGCGAGAGCGAGAGAGAGAGAGAGAGAGGTTTATGATTCCCCGAGAGTTACGGGAAACACTTATTACCCTGCAGGATCTATGCCGCAGTCAATATTTCATATAACAAACTAACCGGAAGCCATATTGTTCCAAATATCCTGTCAGCGCCAGTACTTCGAGGTCAAAAACGCGTCAATGTCACAAACCTCCGCATTTCCGCCTATGTCTGCCGTGAGATTCAACAGCTGGCTTCATCAGAGAGAGAGAGAGAGAGAGAGAGAGAGAGAGAGAGAGAGAGAGAGCGCGCGAGAGAGCGCACAGCTGCCGAGCGTGCTAGATTCGCACGTGTCGTAGTAACGTTCTCGCCATAACGCTCTCGCAATTCAACATTACGCGGCAGTGTGTGAACGCGCCGAAGTGGAGAGAGTGTCGGTGCGCCCGTAGAGTCAGTCGATCGCGTCTGTTTCCGCGACACGCGTGCAGGGAAATTGCCAGTACTAGTCCGATGAGGTAACATTGACTCAGCTGTCTGCAGTTGTGGGCCGGCGGAAAGGTGGTGGAGGAGGCGGAGGAAGAGGGGGAGGAGGAGGAGGAGGAGGAGGAGGTGGAGGATGGAAGTAAAGGTAAGGCAGATAAGATCGATATAGGCGGAAACGGGACAGGGGAAGGATGCGTGCCGGAAAGAGGAAGACAGGAAGGATGCGGACGGGCGGCATAAAGACTGATGGGAGACAGGCGGGTAAAATAAAGGTGGGAAGTAAGAAGATTGGAAGGAAGCAGTTGGGAAGGAAATATATAGGAAGGGAGAGCAGGAAGACGGGCAGAAGGGACATGGGCAGGAAGGAAGAGGACGGCGAGGAAGCGAGTGGGATGGAGGAAGATAGGAAAGAGGCAGGTAGGAAACAGGAATACAGGAAGGACGTGGGCGGGAAGTAAGGAGATGGTAAGGTGTCGCCGGGGAGAGTGGTGGGCAGCGAAGACGTACGTGAGAGAAGGCGTGCAGAAGCAGACATGTCATGTAGACATGGGTTTATGTGTCATTCGCTCGTGGTTCGATCGTCTCCCCCTATCTCAGCAACGCGATAGTTTCATATCTACTCGCGATGGTGATCTTTTTAGTAGAGCGCGATTTCAAAATGCTCCCTCCTTCCCCTTCCCCTCCCTCTCCTTCTCCCTCTCACTCTCTTGCTCTCTCCTTCTCAAGATTAAGCGTCTATTGATGCACAGAGCTGGCTGCTGTTATTGCAACGTGCTCTATACATGTAATTCGCGCGCGGTAATGTGTTTGCTGCATCGCATGTAGTTCGTCACGACGACAGTAAGAAATGGCGATGGAAATTACTGTGCTCAGGATGAGTAATGCAAACTGAACATCGGATTTGTTAAAGCGATGCAGCGAATGCATATCACTCACTACTTGGGCTAGCAATCAACGCACATAAGAGTCTATATAAGAGAATTTTCTATTATGGACTCTTGCTGCACATGTTACAGGCCTGTGATGAAGGTCTGTGCTCTCTGATTGGTGGAAGCACATATCGCGTGACATTGCGTATGAATGCCGTATTATTGCTGCTAATGTAACGTTGTTTGGGCATTTCTTTCCTGCATGTCGATTAAGGGCTGTTATCTGGTGAAAGAGTTGAGGGATACGATCCCGAATCGATAGGTGCTCCCAGCCCAGGCACTGTTAGTTTTTTCCGGAACCACGCCTACTGGTGATTGACATGGCTTGCGCGGGCCGTGTGAGCGGTTTAACATATATTATGTTGCCTTTCCAGTACACACTTGGATCAGTAGTTATTGCGGGCATGTTCCGCTGGAACTAACATGTACTCGCAGCACTTCTAACATCCAGTTCACGTCCCTACCAAGATTTTGTAACGAAATGTCCTTGCTTTCCCCCAAAAATTCCGAATTCTCTAACAACTCGCGTGTACTTCACAGGTGTTAGAAGGAAATCTAATGGAGACTCTTTATGACTGGCCGAGCGAGGGCCACGCCAGCTCGGATGAGGGGGGAGAACACCTGCAGAAGAAACGCATCGTCACCGTCATGGAGAATCAAGTTGCCTACATCAATGGTAGGTGGCGCTGCTGTGGCTGACTCTAGTAGAAGTCGGTCCGTGGTTCGATTAGCGAGAGTACAAGTAATTCAAGGGAAGAATGTTGATATCTGTGATGAATCACAAGGGAGTTGTGCAGAAGCACAGTAGCATAAACATTAATAAACACCTGTATTCAAACCAACCATCCAACCAACCAACCAACCAAACAACCAGCCAACCACCCCAACCAACCATGCAAGCAAGCATGCAACCAACCAACCAACCAACCAACAAACCAACCAACCAACCAACCAACCAACCAACCAACCAACCAGCCAGCCAGCCAGCCATGATGTCGAATATGTAGTAACTATAACTGGTCGAAATGCACGTGCTTTCGTGTGCTGTGTTACGACCTTCTGGACATGATTCATCTCTGGCAAAGTCTAGACTAGCATTAGTCCGAGATTCCTTTGACCAATGCCCACACCGACGATTTTGGTGGATTTGGTGTGGGTTAGGTCAGAGCAACTTGCCTATACAAAACGTGGAATTTCTCCGATCCCGCCGAGGATCGCTGTTTCATTGCTTCAAACTCACAATTGGGCTATCAATCAAGACCTGACGCACATAGATCGAAAACTGGATAACTTATATGCTTGCTCGCGTTGGTAAGTACACTTGTACTCTTTTACCTTAGTCGTATTTCGATTTGAAAATTTGTTGCTAACAATTTTCCTCCGACATCGGTCATCCATCGTGCATCCAACTGCATTTTGGGAAACAACAGAGTAGCGTATTTTGGTAGCGTGGTAGTTTCCCAAAATTCAGTTGGATGCACGATGGATGGCCGATGTCGGAGCAAAATTGTTAGCAACAAATTTTCAAATCGAAATACGACTAAGGTAAAAGAGTACAAGTGTACTTACCAACGCGAGCAAGCATATAATAATCCAGTTTTCGATCTAAGTGCGGCAAGTCTTGATTGATAGCCCCAATTGTTAGATTGGAGCGATGAAACAGCGATCTTCGGCGGGATCGGATAAATTCCACGTTTTATATAGGCAAGTTGCTCTGACCTAACCCACACCAAATCCACCAAAATCGTCGGTGTGGGCATTGGTCAGAGGAATCTCGGCAGCATGGGATTGAGATTACAGCCTACGGAGTTATTCGCAGTCCTTGTCGGACCGCTGGCCTATAGCAAGGCTTGCCAAATGCGATTTCGACCAATGCGCAGCAGGGCGTTTTTTAATATGCATAATATTTTTCTCGTATAACTCGTATTATACGTCGTAGCCTACAGGTAAAGAAATACTGCGAATATATTATATTCGATGCTATAGGGCGGTGCTCTGCCGGCCTCTATTCTTTCCTCAGAAGTCATGCATAAGAAGCAATCAACATTTTCCCATACGGTGGGCAGTGAGTCAAGGCCATAGCGGGCAGATATACAAATAATTTTATATCAAGAGTACATGAATAGAAAGTTTCTATTCATGCACTCCAGCTTATATGTACACTAGACCCGAACCACACCCTATTAACATATGATACTGGCGCACATAACCGGCATTATAATGATCTTGATACCGTGGCATTATATCAAGAGTAGATAATATAACATCTGCATATGTTAACATATGTTATCAAATCAATGATCAATATGTTATTAAATCAACATATGTTATATTATCTACTCTTGATTATATATATCCTCCGCGAGCCATATAACCTCGCTAAAAAATAGTTATAATCGCATTTGCACTTATACGCGCGCGCTATATATAATACCAGGAGTTAATAAAGAAAAAAAGTTGTCTTTATTAACTCCTGATAATACTTATATTACGCGCGCGTGCTAGCTTATGCTGTTTGTTGTCTGCTGATCGGTGACGTACAGTGTTTACTGATCCAGTGCCCGATTATGGATCGGATCGATGAGCGTGTATATAATAAAAAACCAATATAAGATATATCCGCCCCGGGCGCCTGCTGGTTAGGTGGTCACGACAGTGTCGCGCAATCGGCGAACCTTTCAGCGTCGGCTTGATCGACTCATGGCGAACTTCGATCCCCTTGAGCGACGAACGCTGAATAGTCAGGGGGCAGATCCAAAATAAGGATGAGCCTAAACTTTTTGGGTAGAGGCTGGAAACGGGTAAATATCAT